CATATGTGTGGAATTTAGGTGTGGCAATTGGAAGCGGATGGCAAGATGTCGTGGCTTATGTCAACCTCGTTTGTTACTATATAATTGGTTTTCCAGTTGGATGTCTTCTTGGCTTCAAAGCTAGTATGGGAGTCGCGGTAAGTTCACTTGCTCCCCCACTCATTCCGTACAGTTGTTACTTTGTGAGGAATGCTGATGGAACCTGATGCATTTTGGCCTTTTTTTCAGGGGATTTGGTGGGGGATGCTTATCGGAGTTTTTTTACAAACAGTAGTTCTAATTGTTCTAACTGCCAGAACAAATTGGGATGCCGAGGTGATTTAACTTTGATGAAAGTAACTATACATAGCAGGCATGAATCGCATTTGGTCAGGTCGTTATCAATGAATTTTATCATGGTTTTTTGTAGGTTCTAAAAGCCGCTGATCGCTTGGACAAGTCTGCAAATGAAGAAAACACAGACATGGTGGTCTCCGAGCGCGTAAGCCCAAGGCCATGAAAGTGTGTCAAACTCATTTAATTAAGCAGGTTTTCAAGTGGTGAATTGGAATGCAACTCTAAAGGAAAAAAAAGGTGTCATCAAATAGCAACCATCTCTATTACAGTCTAACCTTTCGACATTGTGAAGGCAAAAGCTGGAGATGGGCAGTGGGATGTTGCTTCATTTGATGTTCAACGACAACTTTTGAATTTCTTAGTTTTTCTTGGTTATATACGTAATAATAAATCCATAATTTTTAATTTTTTTTCCCTAGTTTGATTTTAGTTTAAAACTACACAGTTTTATCCAGACTCGCCTGAACGATCAAGGTGGGAATTGTCAATTAATTGTATTAATAATCTGTGCAATATTAAATCAAATATTTTGCTTCTGTAGCTTGACATAATTGCTTATGTAGTTTGCCCTTGTAATTATGCCGCAGTTGTAGTAGTTCTAACTGAATCAGTGTCCACTTCTCCTACAAATCATTATTTGCAAATTGCTTTGTAGTTTTATTTTATTTTTTATTTTGCGGGGGGGGGGGGGGTTTATTATTTTTCAGTTCTTCTTTTGTTCTAGTAATATATATATATGCGAATACGCAGGTATCGTCCACCATAGCTTATAGTACAAAGAATATTTTAATCAACAACTGGTTATTTGTATAAATTGAGGGTATTTCTGACTATTTAAGTGAGATTTTGGATATAATTGAATATTTTTTTAATATAAAAAAAATGATATTTTAGAAATTAAAAGCTAATTTTTTGCTATTATTGATAAATTTCCAAAAAAAACAGTGTGAGTGTTTGGTAAACTTTTATTACAAGTACTTTGACTACGTAAAATGACTGAAAAGGACAACGATGTTAGGTATGCTGTTGATTTTATAATTTGACAAAATAATTGTAGAGATAACTCAAATTATAAATAATTATTAGAGAAATTTGCACAAACATCACCCAAGTATGCATTAGGGTGTTTACATTTACCAGTTAATTTCTTTTTTCAATTCGCAGCTAGTCTCTGGTGCTAATTTATACTTTCTTACGAGTTTTTTTTCCTTTAATATTAAAAAAAAAAAAAAAGGAGAAACTGTTTGCTCATCCCTGATTCCTTCTGCAACAATGATGGCCTCTCGTCCCCCACACTCACACAACACCACCATTAAATTTCATAAAATCCAGACCAATCCCATGCCCAGGAAAAAGTGTTGACCATTCTATCCCAACACCGATCTCTGCCTTGCCCCCATCACCTTACATCCATCATTCCAATTTAAATTAAACAAATGACTGAAATCAATCCAATCTGTTACAAAGAGTATTGGAGATTTGAAGGCTAATAAATGCATAGTCTGAGTCGAGAAAATCATATTCGACCTATGCAGCCATTTGGTATAATACAGGAGATTTCTGCTGCCTTGTCTACGAGCTGGAAGGGAGAGAGCTAGCTGGATACAAGAGTGCGAGTTGTGAATGGTGCAAATTAGGGCTGATTCGTTTCGCGAGGACAAAGAACAAAGACAATAGGAAGAAAAAGGAGGGTAGAGTTGTCGTTTAGAAAGTTTCATTAATGCGCACTATTCACTCCGTCACCTCCCAAAAAAAGCGCTCGTTTTAAAAGCGTGATCTCACCTGTTTTCTAAGGTTTTTGATCCATGATTTTTAAAACATAATTAATTCTCTTAAGGGAATTTTTATAAAAATGGTTTGTGCTAAGTGTATTTTAACAAAAAATCATGCTATAATTTTTTTTAATGAAAAGATTTAAATTTTAATGAAAAACTCTTAAATTTTAATAAAAAGAACAAAAGAAATTAAATTTTTATGAAAAAAACATAATTATTGATATGAATTGATGAATAGAATTGTTGATTATTGATGAATTGAATTCTTGATTCTTGATTATTGAATTATTTATATAATTAGTTATATTGATTAATTGAATTTTTGTTTATTGGATAACTTATATAATTATTGGTATTGATTAATTAAATTGTTGGTTTAATTTGTTATTAGTCATATAGTATACTCTACTCTAGGATTAAGAGTCTAAAACTTTTTCTTCTCATTATACAGTTATTTAATGAAACGATACTATGAGAAACAATTCTTAAATCTTCCTTCAAATATTCTGGTAGTGATCCTTTGAATATTCAAGGTAGTCCTTCTTCGAATATTCGGGGTACGTAGTTCACAACAAAATGAGATTGAATGAAATATTGACTAGTCTTTCTGCAGACCCTAGGCATAGATGTTGAATGCTTAATTAACCACCTAATTATCGCGAATCAATTCATAGACACTATCTTCAAAATGATCATTGTCAACCTAAATTCTACATCATGCCAAAAAAAGTTAGTGACAATCGATGTTTTATGTTCCTCTGTCATTGAAATGCAGATATTGATGAATGCAAAGATCCAAATAGATGCGGTTTCGGCAACATCTGTAACAATATACGATTGTGTCGTTTGAACCCCTTCACCTGCATGACCATCACGGGTTAATGTGGCCGTCACTGTGTTGCTCTCTTCAAATCCAAAAAAAAAAAGAAAAGATAACCCGTGATTATGGCAGCTGGTATTAGCATTTCTAGTGTTGCTCCTCCATTACACAAAACTTTTTTTGTTTCAAACCATCCCTGCATTACTTAGTGTTGGAATTCATTAGGTTTATTTAGGAAATTAATTAGAGATTTGATTTGATTTTGTAATAGGGTATTTTTGGCATTTAAGCATTAGGGTTTCTTAGGTTTATTGCTCTATAAATAGAGCTTGTAATTTAGTTTGAGAACAAGTAATTCACAATGTAGCCTCTTAGGGTTTTGTAGCCGTTTCGGCATTCTCGTTCGTTTAATAATATTCTTATTATTTTGTTAGTCTTGTTTGTTGCGCACTCTGATATTCAACTTGGTATCAGAGCAGGTTTGATCCTTCGGGATTTAATCTGCTTCTGTTTGCTCGTATCAGTTTGATATCATTTTGCTGTCCTGTCTAGTTTAGGTTCGTGAAAATTGTTTTTTTTCTGGTTTGGTTTTGGGATCTTGTTTCTGCCTTGATTGGTTTAGACTGTTTATTTGTGGGTAGTTTGATATAAAAAAAAAAAAAAAGTAAAACTAGAGTCTCGCCGCCGCATGCTGCATGGAGACCCATCCGTCTCACCGCCTGTGTGGAATCTGCATCAGAACCATAACATGCACCACCATCTCCGCTGCTACATCCATTGGTCCACGATCAACCAGCCCTTCCCGCACCAGACCTGCCGCACACCACCGTTGATGCTCGACCTGAGAACACCAAACTCGGATCGAGTTCGTCCTCGCCTTGTACTCCGCTGCTCTGATTGCATCTCACCAGCCACCTCACCACATCGTTTCCTGCACTGTATCCGCACCCCCTGCACCTCGCGCGTTTTGCACTAGAGTTCCTGCGCATGTTTGCACAGAAAGGGAAAGGAGGAAGATGGGGAAAAGAAGAAGAAAAGAAAAAAAAGGAAGCCCCACACGGGCAAGGAAAAAAAAAAGCTTTTAGTTAGAAGTTTTGGGGCCCACGTATTGTTGTTTTTGGGCTTGTATCTCTAGCTTGTTGTTGCCTTCTACAATGATCATTCGAGTGCTTGGATTGGTAACCACTCGAATGACGTTGTGTACATGGTGAATTGGAATTTTTGCTTGTTTGTTTAGGTTTGTTCGGAAGTTGGAAACCTTGCACTGGCATTGGCATGGAAATCTTGCATTGGCACTGGCATGGAATCTTGCACTGGCACTGACATGGAAATCTTGCACTGGCACTGGCATTGGAATTTGGAATCTTGCACTTGCACCGATAGAATTTCGTATTGAAATTGGCATCGGAAGTTAGCATAACAAAGCTTGCATCCACATCATCTGTTGGCAAACTCATGTCGTATACCGCCATGAGTTTGACGGGGGGTGTTGGAATTCATTAGGTTTATTTAGGAAATTAATTAGAGATTTGATTTGATTTTGTAATAGGGTATTTTTGGCATTTAAGCATTAGGGTTTCTTAGGTTTATTGCTCTATAAATAGAGCTTGTAATTTAGTTTGAGAACAAGTAATTCACAATGTAGCCTCTTAGGGTTTTGTAGCCGTTTCGGCATTCTCGTTCGTTTAATAATATTCTTATTATTTTGTTAGTCTTGTTTGTTGCGCACTCTGATATTCAACTCTTAGATTATATATAAGAAGGAACAATAATATCTGACCAACTGAATTTTTTTCTTCCAATTGAGCTATTCAGTTACCAGCTGCATTGTTGGCCTACTGTTTATACACACTGGCGCATGATGGTCTCACAAAGTCAAGATGAAAAGGAAAGACACCAACCGCAAGCAGAAGTTTTCTAAACGAAATGGCGTTTTCTTGTTGGGGCAGCAATTATCTTCCGCTGAAGCTAACGTTGATAAAAATAAATTGTTCAGTAAGGAGGAGCTAGAAAACACCAGGGACCATTTCAGCGTAGAGAGAATTCTTGGTCAGGGAGGCCAGGGTACCGTATACAAAGGAATGTTAGCAAATGGGAGAACTGTTGCTGTAAATAAGTCGAAAAGTGTAGTTATTGGAGACGAAGTGAGACAATTCATCAATGAAATTGTATTCTGTCACAAGTTATTGACAGGAATGGGGTTAAATTACTGGGTTGCTGTTTGGAGACTGAAGTACCCCTTTTGGTTTACGAGTTTATAAACAATGGAACTCTCTCTCATTATATTCAGCACCCGAACGAGGAGTTTCCTCTTACATGGGAAATGCGGTTACAAGTTGCAACCGAAGTTGCAGGAGCACTATCATACTTACACTCGGCAGTTTCCTGTCCTATTTACCACCGAGACATCAAGTCTTCGAACATACTGTTGGATGATAAATACAGAGCCAAAGTGGCAGACTTTGGGACATCAACATCTGTCGCCATTGACAAAACACACCTTACCATGACACAGGTAAATGGAACATTCGGTTATTTGGACCCGGAGTACTTTCAGACTAGCCAATTTACGGACAAGAGTGACGTTTGTTGAGCTATTGACAGGAAAAAAAACCAATTTTTAAGACAGAGTCACAAGAACCCATGAGCCTATCACATTATTTTCTTCTTTCCATGGACGAGTATCGTTTGTTCGATATTCTTGATGCCCAAGTTGTGAAAGATGCCAGGAAGGAAGAGATTATGGAAGTTGCTAATCTTGCAAGACGTTGCTTGAATCTGAATGGAAAAAAGCGTCCTACTATGAAAGAAATAGAAGCGGAGCTGCAGGGAAATCAATTGTCAGTGAAAGATTTGATGTCCAACAAAATTTTAACGTTGATTATGTCCAAACTCGAGTAAACGAGGTTTGGGATGTTGGTTCGGCATCAACACATGAACCTAGCACATTATTTTCTTCTCCATTTGACGTAGATCCGGTTTTGTTTATCAGGACAGAGTGAAAAAAAAATGTTGTTTTCATTGTAATATTCTCTATGTATTAGATGTAGGATTAGTTTGAGATTGTTGTGCTACTTAGAAAAAAGAGACTTCTGGTGTGCGTTGAGAATAATCATTTGTAAAATAAAACAATTGACGATTTGATAAACTTTATTTTGAAAAGTGTTGTGAGTAACAAATCAGTGGAAAAAAAATGTATTTTAATGTTAAAGTACTATAATTTTGTATAAAGACGAAAATAGACATAAAAGTCACCTAATATTTGTTGAGTATGAGGGCTGCTAAAATGTACTTATTTTTAGGGTATGAATCTCACATCAAGTAAAAAATGATTTTATATGTGTTTTTAAGCAGTTAAGCTACTCCTTATACCGCAATTAATTTTATGATAGAATCTTAACTTTCTTTACGTGTGTGTAGAAATGTGAATGATAGATTTTTACTAACCTTTCCAGGAGAGTTTCAAGATTACAATGTTTAGTATCCTTCATGGAGACAATCCTTCCTCAAAACTTACTAATAGAAAATAATGTAGAGATTATTTACATGTACATATCTCTTTTCATTCACCCCTTAATTTTTTAATGTTCTAAGAAAGTTGAAAGTAATGAAGAAACTTATGACGATGTATATCCAATATTATTAGTCAAGTGGTGGCTTATGAGACACTGCCTAATAGTAACTTTTTCAACAAGAATCCTTAGCAGTCATTTGCACAAAGCATATACCGAAGCAATTAATAATATTAAATGCTAAAGTGTTAAAAAGGATTAAATATTTAGTAGCAAAAAAGGAAATTTAGGGAGAGAACAACTTTTTAAGGTGAGTCCTCTTTGTGTGCCCAACTGTCCTTCTACAAATTAATTAGCACAACTGTGTAGGACATGCGATTTTCTCTTGAGTAAAAAATGATCAAATAGATGAATTTTGGAATGATATCAATAGGAGGACGTTTGCAAGTTTTTCAACTTATTAGTGTCAAAGTTTCAGATTTTTGTGCCAAGTCGTTAATGTATGACAAATAAATAAAAGACCAACACGCAAAGCTAGCAGAGTGATGTTTCAGGCTTAATTGGACTTTTTTACGGCAATAACATTTTTGGGGGATTAGACCTTGGTTTAGAGCGCTTTTGATGATTTGTTTCGAGGGTGTTTTCTATCTTTTCTTCTTAATAATATTTTTCTTTTTTATTTTAATTGTGTGTAATTCATTCTTTTTATTAGGGCGAGCCCACAAGCATTAACATAAATGTCACAAGTACAACATGCATTAGAAAAACCTAACCTTCAAAGTTGCATATGTAATTCATACGTAAATAGTAAAATTACATAGAATTGTTAACGGTGACGACTAAACCTTAGTGCATTTTAGAACGAACTTTCTCAAATTGTTTTTTTCCTGCTGCCGATTTAATTTACAAAACCAATTTTAATTATTTGATTTAATTTTCTATATTCATTAGTTTAATTCACAATTCAAATCCTTTTCTAAAATAAGTTTTTAAATAGTTAATTAAGGATTAATTAAGTACAAATTATTTATTCAATTTTTGTAGAGAATAATCTTGAATGAGCATTTATACTACGACTATTTTATGCTCTTGCAAGTGTTTTGTGTAATTTTAACCCTATGTGAACAGGAAACAAAAATCCTATCATTGGCCAAAGAAATATAGCCAATTTAGGCCTAACAATGGACCACCTTTGGAGCACTAATAATCACAAATAATTAGCAATACAATTCTTCAAAACAGTAGGCGCCCTTTGAAAATCTATGCACAAATAATATAATTAATCTTGTAGGAATGGTCTCGATCAGAGAAAGAGAGAGACACCGAACTCCAACCTATATAGGAGACGCGAAGAGATCCCCTCCGGATCTCTCCCACTAAAGCTCACTAATCAATTAATCCGGGTCCTTAAAATTTGATAAAACGGCTACAAATAGGAAGCTCCTTAAAAAATCATCATAATTTTAGCCGTTGGAACAAAATTTAAAGGCTTGAATTAATTGATTGGTGAGATATGGTGGGAGAGATCCGGATGGGATCTCTTCCCCTAGGAGACAACCCTTCCTTAAAACTAACAAACTATATGTATATATCTCTTTTCAGAATCCCCTTATTTTTTTAATGTTCTAGGAAAGTTGAAAGTAATGAAAAAGCTTATGGCATCATGTATAGCCAACGTTACATTAATTAATGAACTAGTGGCTTTTGAGACAATGACATCAAGTAAATTTTTCAACAAGAAATCTAGCTAGAGTCTTTAGCAGTCATGTTCACAAAGCATATACTGAAGCAATTAACAATATTAAATGCTAAAGTGTTAAAAAGGATTGACATTTAGTAGCAAGGAATAAAGGAAATTTAGGGAGAGAACAGCTTTGTTAGGTGAGTCCTCTATTTGTGCCCAACTGCCCTTCTATAAATATTCAGCATAACTCTTTAAGTAAAATCCTCCAATATATTATTTCTTGATTTTATTGTTCTTTACCTATACAATAGAATTATTGCAGCCGGCTCTTAATAATCAACTGGAAGAAGAGGTTGCATGCATGCATCCCTGGTGACTTCCTTAAATTCAAGAGAGATTTTTTTCATACAACTGAAACACATGTTGATACCCTATATGACATAATATAAATGGAATTTGGAGCGAAAATCTATTTTCAATATCCTTCCACTGATAATGTGACACGTAATGTATGACTTGTATTTTAGGTACACTAAAAAATGATCTTTTCCTTCTCGTCACGCCAAAATAAATCGACCCGAGCAAAACAATGTGCTGCCTTTGAAAGTTCAAACCCTTCAAGGGTTTAGGTTTTGTTTAGGGTTCAGAGATTTAAAATTTAAGTCCCCTCTAATTGTTGACTTTTGAGTAATTACTTGTAATATTGGGTGTCCTAGTCGTGATTGTGAGACTATGTTTGTATGTGTATGTATGGATGTATGTGTGTATGTGTGTGTAAACCAAACGCAACAAACTCGTACCGCTGAATCTGTAGCATTAAACCTCGACAACCCACAAGTACTTGCGACCCAGCATCTATCCAGTCAGGGAATGGCGTAGGAAACTTTGACCACTCGTGCTACCAAAAAATAGCGCAGGAAGCTTTGGTCGCTCCAACCGAATGGTTGGTCGTTCTCATAGATTAGGCATTCCAAGAATCGATGCTATTAATTAATTGTTGGCTATGGCCTGATAGGTGGGGCAAGACTCGAGATCCTAGGTTTAACAAGTCTCGTACCTCAATTGCTGTAACCAAGGATGATTCCACACTATGGCCGAAACTGCGTCTGCCTTCGTTAGCGCCAGAAGTAACCATGGTAAGGTATTAGAATATTTTCAAAGGAAACGTCAAATTCGAAACATTAAATTTAAATTTGATGGTTAATTTGGTAATTTGACACATTGTTAATATTTTTCTTTCACTTGGTATGTCAAAATTTACTGCTTCATTAATATTTTTTTAAACAAAAAAAAAGTTGGGTTGTTGTTGGTTTAAAAATAATAAAATAATACTTAAATATGCTACCATTTAAGGTAAGGCAAGTGGAATACCTTTGGAAATAACAAAAATCAAATTTGAAGACAGCTTCATAATTGACTCTCTTTGTTCATATCAGCTTAGCCTTCTTTTCCATGTAATCTTTGACATCTCAGTTGAAGTAAATGATACGTCATTTTTTACCATTATATGTTTATGTGACATTTTTTACATTTCCTTTGAAGATGGTCTTAAAAGTTTCTATATCTATTTCCAATAGTACATGAATAGTTGCCTCTAGTGCTACATAACATATGACTTTTTTATTCTAGTCAAGTACAAACCTTAAAACCCTTCACCTAGTCAGATGTCTCCATTGCAAAGGTAATGTCGTCCCTGTTCTTGGGGAGGGCACCGTATTGTAAAGTTCTATGAATGGTAATGTGTGACAATTGGTTTACTTAAGGAACAAATCACTTGATTATTCAGTGATGTGCAATTCGAGTAAATTAAGAGTCCTAGTTAGGTAAGAATTGTGGAGTCTTAAATCATTGCAGCTAATCTAGGAGAATCATCTAGAGGTTCAAATACAAAGATATTGCATCATGATAGAACTCAATCAAGTTGATAGGGTTGACCTTTTTAGCTGTTAATAGGCCGGCTAATAAGGAACCCTAATGGTATATAAATACTAGGTTAAGTCCCTGCTTCCATACGTAGAATTCCTCAGAATACTAAAAACCTATGCATATAGTAGTGGGATATTTTGGAGTATTGGAAGGAGAAGACAACCTAGAGTTCATCAATGGCTTCATCTTCATAACCATGTCTCCGAATTCTACAGATAAGTTTATTTCCTTTTCATGTCGATTTCGTTATTGTATTCATGATCCTAATGTCTTGTTGTTGCTCTTATGATTTCAGAATATATCTTACATGCGGTATCAGAGCCACACAACAAGCTTAGGTTTTGGATGAAAGAGAGCCGTGATATAATTCTATTTGGTATGATTCCTATTGACTATAATATATGGACTGGTCTGGGTGGTGACTACGGATATTGCTGCCGCTAAGTAGTATTCATGAAATTTTATTTTTCCTTTTGGCTCTTGCTTAATTATTAGGGATGGGTTTGTTTTGCTTTCATGGATAAGGCATAAAGAAGTGAGTTTTCACAGGTTTCTTTGTCTCCTATAAACCCTAAAATTATATATATATATATATATATTTATTTATTTTTTTA